CAACTCAAAAAAAAAAAAAAAAAAGGTCTAAGCTGAGCCCCTCACTCTCTTGCTGGGAGGAAAGAGATTAAGTCCCTAGCCTGCACCACCAGGTTCTAAGACATCAAGACCTATTTGTTGGTCCAAGGACTGCAAAGCAGGCAAGTGAATGCCAGAAGGAAAACTCTTTCTCATCCTCAGTGATTCCCGTGAACTGGGAATAAACCTTCCCTTATTCTGGAACTTAAAATCTCCCAGGCTGCTTTGCCCACATCTCTGGGGCAAGTTTTAGATGCCTGCTGCACCAGGCCTGTTCGGGTGGTCATCCTTGAGATTTGGCGGCGCACAGCAGTCACTTAAGGAACTCTCAGGGCTGCCGAACTGGGCTGGATCTCGCCACAGGCAGTGGGGACCCAGGACAGGAGCCCTAAGCTTCCGGCGCACAGCAACCCCTGCAGCCAGGGTTCACCAGCAGAGGCAAGCAGGCAGAGGATGCTGGGTATGCCCAGAAACCCAAGGCCTCCTGAAGTTCCCAGGAAATCCTGTCAGTATAGCTAGGAGAGTGAACACCGCCAGGCAAGAAGGGCTTTTCCAGGGTTCCCTTGCTGGCCCTGGCTGCACATCCCAAACCAAGCCCAGCCTGGAGGTCACTGCGGAACCTGCACAGGAACAAGGGGCCTGATGGAGGGGGGGTGGAATCAATCCCAGGTCCTCAAGGTCAACTTGACCGTTTCTCTGGCTTTAGAGCCCTCCATAGTCTGGGATCCTGATGTGTCACAAGCCTGGCTCTCTTGAGGCTGAATGAGCTCGGGAAACTTGGGACTCCAAACCCACCTCAAGCACCTGCAGGGTCTACACGTCAAGTATCAGCTGAACCATTTGAAATTGCCTTTTTTGTGGGTCAGACATGATCACATATCAGCAATTTCTTGTGGTTCAACTTACTCTGGAAAGGCAGGTGCTGTCAGAGGAAGGTGGGCTGAACCTTAGCCCCCACTCTCCCTCTTCTCCCCTTCTCCCTGCAGGACCCCACTTCGCTTTCAGTGACCTAGAGCTTTTCTCTGGGAAGGACAACAGACAGCGAGGCAGAGAGTGGAAGCTGGTGGACCGAGTGGCTTTGCAGGCACTGG